AAGAAAACATAACTGTCTTTGGAGAATGGAAAATCATCCATACCCTTACATTTTTTTCATTTGTAACATCCAAGATCCATTTGAAAATTATAGGCATGCTAAAAAATAGAACTAAATTGTATGTACACACTCAGGTGAGCTTGGAATTTAAGTTACCAGACAAGGAACTTTAAATAACTCTGATCAGTATGTTCAGGAAAATGTGAATGAAAGATGAAAAGTAGAGAATTTTAAAAGAGAACTGAAATCTGTTTTACAAAAATCAAATGCACGGTCTAGAAGTGCAAACATATCTGAAATTAAGAACCCTCTAGAGGTGTTTACCAGCAGACAGGTTATAGCAAAAACAAAAACAAAAACCATATGATTAATGAACTTGTGGCCAGATTAATAGGAAATATAACCAAAATGAAGCACAGGGGGAAAAAAAGAATGGTGAAAAATGAGTGCATGGAACAGGAGGGATACAGTCAACTTTTACTATACCTAGAATTAGAGTATCAGAAAAAGAGGAGAGAATGTAACAGAAGCAAGTTTTGAAGACAATGACCAAGAAAATGTCACAAATTCAAGAAGCTCACATCTTCAAAAAGTTAACCATAGAATTACCCTATGACTCAGCAGTTCCATTCCTAGTTATATACTGCAATGAATTTAAAACAGGTATTCTTCAAACTGTAAACAAGTGTTCTTAAAAACAAATACTTGTATGGAAATGTTTATAGCAACACTATTGACAATAGCGATAAGGTGGAAGCAGTCCAAATGGGCATGAATGGATGAATTGTGTAAACAAAATGTGGTATACCTGTTTGATGGAATAAGTACCTGATACCTGACACAACATTGGTGAACTTTGAAAACATTATGCTAAGTAAACGGAGCCAATCACAATGGATCACATATTGTATGGCTCTATTTATATGGAATGTCAAGAATAGGCAAACCCCTGGGGACAGAAAGATTAGTGGTTTCTAGGGGCTGGGGAGAGGGGGGAATGGGAAGTGACTGTTTAATGCATATGGGGTTTCCTATTGGGGTGAAAATGTTTTGGAACTAGATAGCAATGATGGTTGCACAACATTATGAATGTACTAAATGCCAACGAATTATAAACTGTAAAATGGCTAATTTTATGTTATGCAATTTTGCCTCAATTGAAAAACATTTAGAGAAGAAGCTTATTAATTTACAATAAGGATTCATTCATACAAAGAAAATCACACCTGAATAAATAATAGTTATACTGCTAGAAAGTAAAATTAAGTTTTTACTTACATTTTTACATTACTTAACATAATGTTTTCAAAGATCATCCATGTTGTGTCATATATCAGAACTTATTCCATAAAACAGGTATACCACATTTTGTTTACACAATTCATCCATTCATGAATATTTGGACTGCTTCCAATTTATGTCTATTGTCAATAGTATTGTTATTGAAACAAAAGTCATTTTATTATCTTCTAGTTTCTATAGTTTTTATTGGTAAGTCAAATGTGGTAATATGATCACTTTTTTGGAGGTAAAGGCTATTTTTTATTTGGCTGCTTTTAATATTTTTGCTTGATCCATACCTCACACCATGAACAAAAAATATTAATTCAAGAGAGATCACAGGCCTACATGTGAAGGATAAAACAATAACACTTCAGAAGAAAATAGTATATGCTCATGACCTTGAAGTAAGCAAGACATCTTAAATAGGACATAAAAATCATTAACCCAGGAAAAAAGATTGAATAACTGGACTTCATATCAGTCAACAATGTTCATTAAATTAAAAAAAAGAAAGATGCCATACAAGAGTGGAAAGACAAGTCACAAACTGAGAGAAGTTATTGGCCATGTAAATATAACAAAAGATTTGCATGGAGAATATATAGGACATTCCTCCTAGTCAATAAGAAAAGAGAGTGAATTTGATCTTAAAAAAAAGCAGAAGACATGAACAAGTGCTTCACAAAATTCCCTGTTTCAGGTATGGAGCAACCCTCTGAGATTTCTGGTATAAGATGTGGCCCCCAATTCCTGCCCTTGTGGCCAATGCCTGATCCAGGTTCTCTTGATTCTATTCAATTACCATTCTGATTTTGAGTCCTTATTTACTGCTACTATTTGGGACTTTCCTTTCATTTCAAGTTTAGCTAATAGTCTTTGTTTTATTTGTACAGCATCTTTACATATTTAAGATCGGAGCAGGGATTCCTAGCATACACTCAGTCATGTGCAATTACTTAGAAGTCCAAATTACATTTTTATGAAGTCAGTTTAGATTACAGTGAGTGATATCACCTTGAATTGTTTCTAGATTCAATACTTTATATTACTATAAATTATAGTGCACACAGTAGATTAGAAGAGTTCACAGAAAAGAAAGCTATTTAGAGTAGGAAGAGTGAAATAAAGAAATATGGGGGTTTATACAGCTGCTGGAAATGAGTGTTGGAAGGCCAAGTGTATTTTGAGCACCTTCTTTGCTGCTTGATCTTACTTTGAACACTTGCTGTTTGTCACTAGGGACCAGGTGGGCTTTTGTTTGTTTTATATAGGCAAAGTATCTAATAATTTATCATGCTCCACTGATTTGCAAAGTTTGGATCTACTCACAAATCATATTACCTGGGATGATGGTTAAAATGTAGATTCAGGGGCTTTGCCCAGGGTCACAGAATCTACATTTAGCATACTTTGTGTGATGATGATTCATATACTTATGTATGAAAATCATTACAGATAGGTACCAGAGCTAGGTATGTTAACCCTACTAATGGTGATTGTAAATCAACTGTGGGAAACCTGGCTGATAATGTTTAGTCCAAGAGGATAACTGGTACTTTTCTAGTGTTAGAGAATTTTAATTGTTTGGGGTGGCAGGGACTAGCAGCCTATGACCTGAAGGACAAATCCAGCCCATCATGGGTTTTTGTATAGCCAGTGAGCCTTACAAAATGCTATTTGCATTTATAAATACTTTTTAAAAATCAGAAGAAGAAGAAGAATACTTTGTGATGTGAACATTCTATGAAATTCAGATCCTAGTGTCCATCAGTAAAGTTTTATTGGAACACACTTATGCCTATGAAGTTATGAATTGTCTATAGCTGCTTTTGCATTACCAAATAAGAGTTGAGAAGTGGCAACAAAAACCAGATAGCCCCAAGGCCTAAATTACTTATTACCTACCTTTTTACAGAAAAAGATTGCAGGCCCCTTGGCAAAGCTATAGGCCTTCATGTACTATGTAGGCCTGTCAATCTCCCCATAATCCTAAATCAGCCTCCACTTCTCTATCAACCTCTAACCCTCTCCCCTCCTGCAACACTCCACACACACCCTGACAGAATGTCCTGCAGTGAATCTCTGGACTGCCTTCTTCATTGTGAAAGGAGAAAACAAAACTGCCCTGTTCTCATTCAGAAAGATCCCTTAAGTTCACTTACCTGTGAAGTATTCTGTGATCTTTGGAGAAAAAATGTTCTCGAAAGATCTGATTATATTAATTCAATTCCTACCAACTCTTGGGACCACTTATGAGAGCCAGCTCTAGCCCCAGGAAAACATAAAAATGTCTAAAAATTCTTAGAAGGGGAAATCCATTTACAACAAACTAAAGGTTAATAGATTCATGATTCAACCTCAAACTATATTACATCAAATAAAACATTTGACCTGACAAAGAATAGAGTGTTTTTAAAGTTGCTAGGAGAATAGGACTTCCTGAATTATTTGATAAAATTAAAGATGGATTTTGGAGAAAAGAAATAAAGCAGAAAATAAGACTAAGGGGCTTTGCTTTGCTTTGTATATATAGAGGACTAAATACATAGTTTATAAATTATTGAGTGTCTTTTCTTTTCTCACAGCTTCTTTCAGTCTTACTTCTGGTCACTTTTCTGTCTAAATAGAAAAATGAAAAAATAAATAATTGAGGAAATAAGAGTAAATAGAAAATTTAGAAGAATAATAAATCAGTGGGAAAGATTAACATTCTAAAATATGTATCAGCTGGTTTTATTCTCTTGTTAGTGATAGGCTACAAATTTGGTTCTGTGCTTCTAAGTAGGTAGCCAAAGCAAAATAGAAAACAAAACATAGTAATCATAAGTCAAAAACTAAACTAATTTTTCATGAGAAACATCATTTTCCTGTTACTAAGCCTTGAGATAAATTTTTCTGGTAGGTCCTTATAAAAAGTGTAACATGTGGTGATATGGATACTGTTTTACACACACACACACACACACACACACACACGACACTTTTTTCTATCCTATTCTTTCAAAGGCATGGATGCAAAACCCACATTAAGGAAAAACCATAGCATAGGGACTGAGGCAATGCAAAACAACAGTAATTTCTCAATCTCATCCATAAATGAGTGTGAAAAATCAAACCCAAATAGAAAACTTACATGAGACCTTTGGGCAAGTCATTTTCTTTTGATTTGCTCATATGTTGGATATATCCCTGTATACATTTTTTGGACAATATTGTATGAAAATACAATTTCATTAATATTAACTGAAATAGGATTCTCATATGTATTGAGGGGACCCCAGTGTTATTCCAGTCTGTCAAAGAGGAGTCGTTGATCCTTGAATCTGGAAAGGGACTTAGAAATAATTTTGATCAAAATGGCAAATATGTGGCATCATTCCCATGGCAGACATGACTAATTGATCACATTAATACACTGATTCACAATACAAGGTAGAGGGAAGGCTATTTCTCAACACCACCGTTAATCTAGTACTGCCAAAAGATCAGTGCTGGCCTATAAAATAAGAATATTTTTAGTGGACTTCTGGTTTTAGCCCCAGCATGGAAAGAGCTTAGAAGTTTTTATTTTCATTCATTCAACAAGAAAAAGCTGAACAATTTGAAAATGAATGACTTTTCTTGGACCCATCAGAGAATTAAGATTGTAGGGCAAACCACCACCCTGAAAATCTGAAAAACTAGGTGAATCCAGGGAATCACCAAAATTTGCTTACCTGGAACAGAAAATGCTGAAGCCACAAGCCTGTAGGAACACTTTAGTGGTAATTTTGATGAATTGTTAGAGACTTAGTGTAGACTAGCTTGAGAGTGGAGGCTATAGTCTCAGCACCACCCCCCCTCCACACCCCCCCCCCCCCAACACACACACATACCTTTTGTGGAATCCAGAATTTCCTAGTAGTTCTGGTAGGGGGAGGGTAAGAGTAATCATTATGAAATAGGACCAGAACATCCTCTCTATAACAAAAGCCAGCTCTCCAAGGGGAAAAACATAAACAGAACCTTATCCCAACTGGGGGAGGAATCCCTTTCACTGTAGCCCCTTTTAGCCTTTCTGTCTCCCCTAGAGGTAAAAAGCTATTCCACTGGAAAAAATTGTGAAGTTTATAGCCCAGAGATATAGACCCACTAAAAGACTAAGATTTACTTATAAAGTTAGAGAATATCTTCTTTCCTCTGTAGTCAACCACCTCACAAATAGGGTTCCAGTATAACAGTGAATTATAGCTGAAAAGGCTGAAAGATACAGACTCTCTGAGAAGTAATTAGGGAAGCCTGAAGTCAAGAGAGGACAATAAACAAGGACATTAGAGGAATTCAAAGCCTCTGATACCTACAGCTATAGCAAATATGAAACATAGTCCAACTTACAGTGCAAATCCTCACACTAAAGATCTGTTTATCTCAGTTCCTATTACCCATTTCAGCATGTTGACCTTTACCAGAAAATTACAAAGCATACCAAAGGGCAAGGAAAAAACATAGTCTTAACAAATAAAACAAGCATCATAACTAGACCTAGATATGAGCTGGAATTATTAGACAGGAATTTTAAAATTAACTATGATTCATATGTTAAGTGTTCTAATACAAAAAGTATGCAACATGCAAAATTGATGGATAATATAAGCAGAGAGATGGAAACTATACAAAAGAATCAAAAGTAAATATTGGAAATCAAAAGCACTGTAACAGAAATGAAGAATATCTTTAAGGTGCTCGTCAGTAGACTGGACATAGCTAAAGAATAAGTGAGTTTGGGGCGCCTGGGTGGCGCAGTCGGTTAAGCGTCCGACTTCAGCCAGGTCATGATCTCGCGGTCCGGGAGTTCGAGCCCCGCGTCGGGCTCTGGGCTGATGGCTCAGAGCCTGGAGCCTGTTTCCGATTCTGTGTCTCCCTCTCTCTCTCTGCCCCTGACCCGTTCATGCTCTGTCTCTCTCTGTCGCAAAAATAAATAAACGTTGAAAAAAAAATTAAAAAAAAAAAAAAAAAGAATAAGTGAGTTTAAGGAAAGGCCAATAGAAATTTCCCAAACTGAAATGAAGAATGGAAAAAAAAAAAAAAAAACCAGAACATGTAAGAACTGTGGGACAGTGTGACATACACATAATTGTAATACCTGAAGAAGGAGAAAAAGAAAGAGATAACAGAAGAATAATGAAATAATAACTGCTTGAGGTAATTGAAATTTTGAAGTAATAATAGGTGAAAAATTTCCAAAATTAACAAAAGACAAAACCATAGACCCAGGAAGCTCAGAGAATATCAAATCCAATAAATACCAAGAAACCTACACCTAGGAATATCATATTCAAACTGCAGGAAGCCAAAGAAAAAGAGAAAACCTCAAAGGAAGCCAGGGGAAAACTACACTTTACCTATAGAGGACAAGGATATGAAGTACAGTGATATGAAGCAATATGAACAAAGATACGAAGTCTCAGTAGGAAACCATGCAAGCATGAAGAGAATTGTGTGAAATAATTAAAGTCAAAAGAAAAAAACTCACCCACATAGAGTTCTGTATCCAGCAAAATCATCTTTGAAATGTGAAGGGGAAATAAAGGCTTTCTCAGACAAACAAAAACTGAGGGAATTAATCACCAGCAGATTTGCCCTACAAGAAAGAATGAAAGAAGTGTTTTAGGGAGAAGAAATATAGTATAGGTCAAGAATTCAAATCTACATAAAGGAAAATTGTCAAGGAAGGCATAAATGAAGGTAAAATAAATCTTGTATTTTTCTTATTTTTAATTGATCTAAAAGATATCTGTTTAAAGTAATAATAGTAACAATGTATTAGATAATTTTAGTATATGGGTAAGTGAAATGAATGACAGCAGTACCAAAAGAAGCAGGAGGGAAAAATTGAGGATAATGTTTTAAGTTACTTACAGTACATGTAAAATGTTATATTTTTATTTTTAAGGTACATTTAGATTAAAACATATTGGAAGCTCTAGAGCAACTACTTAAATTTTTAGAAAGAAGTATATTGCATGCTAAGAGAGGAGATAAAATGTAATGATATACAATGTTAAATTAAAACCAGGAAAAGAGGGGACCAAAAATAAAATAAAATAAAAAACAAAAAAAATATTCAAGGAAGAGAAAATACTCATATACTAAATCTTAATCCCAACTATAGCAATGATTACTTTAAGTATGAAGTAAAAGACACCAATTTAAAGACAGAGATGTCTGGAAAAGTGTTTTGGGGGCTAGTTGTTGAATGGTGAGGTTTGGTGGGCTGTGCAGAGATAAAGTGCAGAGGCCAGGATGGCAATTTGGTTTTTGGGGAAACCAAAAGATCCCTGAAAGGGAGATGCCCCCCGTGCCATTTTCCTATTCTTCTCGTCTTTACATAGTTCCTTCTACTCTAATTGCCCAGCATGTAACCAGAATATTAAGTGAAGTTTTACTATTTTGCTCTTAATTTAGAAATCAAGCTATCATCTTCCCTCTCAAAGAAAAAAAGAAACAGAATTTCTTTGCTTTTTATTTCTGTCTTGATTAAATTTTGGTTAAGTCCTTAAAATAAAGAGAATTCTTTAAAGGGGGGCTGTTCTTCTACCTAAAAATCTTTGTAGTCAGTTTGTTTTTTCTTCATGTTCAAACAAAAGCTCCTTTAATCACAGAGAAGACAACCTGCTAATGCTTTCCCTGATTCTCAGCCTGTTTTATGGTTTAATGATGACAGTGAATTTGTAAGATATTTGAAGGAAAAAAAAAAAAACAGGACATTTTAGGGTATGATAAAAATTTCAATTTTTTGAAGGTTTTTGAAGGGAAGGATGGTAAGGAATCATTTCTTTGTTGAGAGCTATGTGACATTTTACCTTGAAATTATGACATTAAAATTCCTACTTGCTAAATAAATCTAATCAAATCATATGTCAGGTACAAATCATGTAATTATACATTCTGAGTACTAGCCCAAGGATTTGAATTTTATTTCATGGTACCGATGTGATTTATCATATTTATTCAGCTAGAAAGTAAGTATATGTTGTGATTAAACATGATACATATCTAACTTCAAATATTGGCCTGTGCCATTTTACTAACAAGATATTCAACTTCTCTGAGACTCATTTTTCCATATGTAAAACATGAACACGAATAGATTCTACCTAGACTCCAGAATATAGCTAGCATATAGCATGAGTTCCACAAGTGTTTATTGAACAAATAATCTCATAATATTGTGTATTATAAATATATATGATGCATGACACATACTAAGCATTCAGTAACTGTTAGTTTTATACTGTCATCAGCATCCTTATCATGAATTTCCCTATTTGATTGGAAGGGGACATTCAGCTAAAATGGAAGAGGGTGTATTATTGTTTCTAGGAGAGTAATGTCTAAGTATTTCTCCTAAACAATCAGAACTAGCTATCTTCTAGTTATAACCAATCGAAAATTTGATATTTAAGGTGTCTTATTTATTATGGAAGACTCATAACAGCCAATTATATACACCAAACTTACCTTTCATTATAGAGGCAGCAGAATGAAGTTTTCAAGCATATAGAAACTTAGGAAAAAGTTAGTTATGCACAAGACTTTGTTGAAAATCTTCTACTTGAAGATGAAGTAGCCAAACAAAAATGGAATCATGATGGGTAAATGGTGGTAAAAGGGATTGGTTGTAAATATAAACTAAATTTAACTATTTTTATATTTAAGGATTAAGATTAAAAATTAAAATTTCTGGTATTATAGTTAAAAATAAGTTATAGAAATTTTAGCTTCCAGAAAAGATGGAGTATACATACTTTTGCTTATTCCTCTATTTAGGTAAAACTAAAGCTCTAGCTATTGTTTGTAGACATGAAAAATTCTGAAAGATGGAAAGAATAAGGTAGCCTAGGAATCAGGGAACAGCACAGTACTGAACTCCTTGGTTTGGGGTTTTTTTGTGTGTGTGGTGTTTTTTTGTTTTTTTTTTTTTTTCTGCATAGATCCCAGACGTGGTTCTAGAGGAGCTGGCAACCGAGAAGCACCAACAGATACAAACAAAACATGCTCCAACAAAGGCCAGCTCTCCCTATCCAGAGGTCCAGGAAAGGAACAGCCTAGCAAAATAGAAAAATTTTAGACAATAACCACTGTACTCTAGTAAAACCCCACAGAAAAACCATGGTACTGTCCCCACCCCAACCCCTGCCAGCAAAGGTCAAACAAAATGCTGAGACTTTCACCCTGACCAGACTATGAATAAGCATCTCAAAAACCCCACTGGGGTGCCATCAGTGAAGGCCTAATGAGGAGTGCTGGGATTTTCACTTCTGCTAGTTTATAATGAAGACCCTCTCTACCATCCCACTCAGTGTTAGTGGAAACAAAATGGGGAACCTGGAATCCTACCTCCACTTGTCAGGAATGACACATCTCTTCCCCTCCCCTCTGGGATTCTGTCAGAAGATACCTACTGGAGACTCAGGACTTTCACCACTATCCAGCAGTAGTGAGGTTACTCCACCATTTGTGTCAGTGGAGGCCATGTGAGGAGCAGTAATGAGGCACTCCTACCCCTTGAACTTAGGGTAGTATATCAGTAGTATATCAGATGTCTAGTGGGGAGTTGGAACTTCTACACCCAATCACCAGTAATGAGTTCCCCTATCTCCTGAGTGTCAGTGAGGGTCAGGTGGGGAACCTGGACTTCCAACCATACATGACCGTGATGAGGCAGTGTTCCCTTCTTACCCTGCCAGAGTGGTGTCTGAGGAGGCCAACCAAAACAGAAGAGTTAAATAAGATGCAGAGTCTTATAACACAATTCCCAAAATGTCCAGATATCATGTAAAAAAATCACTTGTCAGGGAACCTGGGTGTCTCACCCAGTTGAGCATCTGACTTCAACTCAGATCCTGATCTTGAGGTTTAAAAGTCTTGCATATATGATGTATACAAGTTAGCTCAGAGCCTGGAGCCTGCTTTAGATTCTGTGTCTCC